AAGATTTGAATATACAGAGATTTGACTGTGTTAGCTTGGAAAACTCATTAACTCAACTAATTTGGTAGCCACATTAATTATGCTTTGTATGAATGTGATCTTAGTAATTTTGCAGAAAACTTAGGCTTTAATTGGTGATAATTTTTTTAAAATAATGATTCATCTTTATTCCCCAGTCTTTTTAGAAATTCCAACATGATTAGGACATAAAAGTCCATATATGCAATTCACAAGAGAAGTTTCGGAATTATCATTCCAACAACGTATTTAATTTAGTTAAACAAAATAACATTAATTAATGAGAGATTTAAACTTTCAGAAATTTGACTTGGTTAACTTAGAAAACCCTTTAACTCAACGGATTGGTAGCTAACTTGTAGGAACTTGATCTTACTAGTTTCACAGTGAGTCTCTAACTTGGCGAGTCCACTAATCTTGTAAGTGTTGATTACTAAGTAATAAGCTAGTAATTCACAATTACTCCCGTGAGCTAATAGTAGGTTACTTTTAACGGCACTAAGGATTGTTCCGCGCTAAGCGCGGATTGTACATTATAATTTTTTTTAATATAAATTAGATAAGATTTAAAATCATGGGAATAAATTAAAGAAATGTAAACTCAAACTACAAAATATTTTGTATTTTGATTATTTGTAAGTGTAATTATCTAATTTGCTAAGAAATATATATTTCAGCTAGTTGTGCATTTTTATGAGTTACTTATCCTACATTGATTATGTTTAATTTTGGGTTAGACATTTTATTCAAAACCTTATTTGGAGAATGATCTAGTTTAGAAAATGATGTGTTTATATTAAAGTTATTATCTTGGTTTAAAATATAAGGTTAGAACTTTGTATCTATTTATATTTAGTGTCTTTGAAAGTATCTATCTTGTTTTACAGTTTTGATATAAAAATTTGTATAATATTATTTTGTATAATACAGTTCTTCGATATAATACAATTCTTCTATATAAGTATAGGGTTTGATCCACGCTACTAATAATTATTTTTAATATTTTAAATATAATATCTTACTTATATAATAATTGTTTGAATGTAATGTGATAAATTTATAAGATAATTTTTATAAATTGCTTATGATGCATTTGAGAATGGTGTTATTTTATATGAAATATTATGTAATTATCTATTTTTTTATATGGTCTTTGTTAGCTGTTTCTTTTATATTTTAAACAGTAGGGGAATTATAATTATGTTTTAGGTATTTTTTGTTTGCTGTGTGTGTGGAAGTTATAAGTAGTTGTTTTTCTTTTGTGTTGTAATAGAAAGTAGAAGCGAATGAGTGAGAATTTGTTTATTTGTTTGCATTTTGTTCTTATTTCATTTTGTAATTAGAAGTTTGAACACAAATTTAAATGCAAAAAATTGATAAAATAGACATAATCTTTATGAATCCTTCTTTTGTTTTTTTCAATTGCTTATTTTTATCGTGAGAAGGTTATGAATTTTAAAAATCCCTTTAAAGTTCTAATATTTGATTCGTTTATACAAAAAAGCAAACAATCCAAGCAAGCTTAGCAAGGCAAACACATATAACTTCATCGAATCTTCGACTGGCAAAAAATATCTTTCCCTGGATATTCGGTGACCTATAATTTGTGTAGATGAATAAAACAGCCAGTCTCCAAAGCTTGGATACATCTCACATAGAACGGTATGTAAGCTTACACTTGTGATCATGGTCGTATCATGGCAATTTTCTCTGACAGTTTTGGAAAGAGAAACTGGAAAAAATGTTTAGCTTTGTTACAATGATTTGATGAGCAGATTATGAAAGAGCATAACTAAAACAGGTGATTAAATAGCAGAATTTATTTATACAAGATGTAGTAAAAGGAAGAAGTTTATAACAGGAGACGCCATATCCAACATTGTCAATTATTTAAAACCGACCATTTACGAAAACATGAGCTTTCGTCAAGTTTTTTAGCTCACCCACAAAAAGACATGTTTAGAAAGTAATCCAGATTACACTATCTCTTCTACACTGTTTCTTATCTTAAAATAAATGTATACTAAACAAAGATAAAACGCCATTGAATATTAAGATAGTTAATAAAAAAATCACAAAGATATTAGAAACACAGTCGGCGCAAATTTATTGAGTGAATGAAAGAATTTTAAAAGAGAGATCTCAGTTTTGTGGAAAAATTAATGATACAATTTTAAAAATGTTTTGATTCTTACTTGATCCCTTAATGCCTCATTGAGATCAGTTTTACTCAAACGATGCCTCTGCATAACAACATAAACCCAATAAACCGGATGCACAAAACAACATGATGAATTCAATATATATATGTCATACCAATTTCAGAAACTCATAATATGAAACAATGTATCTTACCTTTCAGCAGCCTGACTTCTCTTCCAGCAGAAGATAATGAAAATATGTTAATAAATTATCTGATGGAATTTAAAAATGAGAGTGGAAAACTGAGGAGGTGGAAAGGAGCTTAAGAAAAAGATTATGGCTTTGTGGAAGACGATGGGCTTAGTTTAGGGATGAGTCTCTGTTTTAAATAGGGTTTTGTGGCATAACATTTTTAGGAGGAGCCGAAGAGGTGTTTTCTGAAATTGATTGCGAGAATTATACATGTTGGCGTGGGAAATCAAAGGTTACATTAGATATATTTGAAGGGCTTTAATTGTTAAGAAGCATAAGTAGATTTTGTTGGGCTTAGACGTGTTTTAGGAAGAGCTGATTAGAAGTGATTTACAATGAGAAGGTGCTGATGTGGCATGATTTTGGAGCATTTTGTCTTTGTTGTGTCTTGTAGTCAGCATTTTCTGGTTTTTTTTTTCTTCGGGTGGTTTGTGGTCGTTTTATTCTTTCTTACGAACTCGTTTATTGATATATGGTGTTTGTAGTTTTTGTTAAAGGGGAAGCTCTTTATTTTGTAATTCAATAATTTGTGCTAATTGCATATTATTGATTAGTGTTAATTGATTTATTTGTTATTGAGAATCGTAAATTGGAGAGTGATATTATGTTGTCTTCTGTGAATTTGTTAAGTAGTATTTCTCATATCATTTTTTTTTCTTATTTTATTTGTAGTTTATTAGGAAGCTGTTTTGAAAAGTATCCAGATTTGTTTCTTCATTTTAATGATTAAAATTTTTGTTAATCGTTTGTTAACTATAAAATATAATATTTAGCACCTTGACAGGATTGTCAGTTATTATATTGTTAGAGTGATAAAGATCATCATCACGTACATATAAAGAGATTATAAGATAAAAATAATTTTCGGTACTGTAGGTTTTCTGCAATTTAAATTATTTAAAATATGTAATTGAGAAAATATTCGGTCGCCTGGTTTATATAGTCAAGTGTTACGAAAACATGTTTGTTTTGTATGCAATTTTTGTTTTACTTGTTTGAGACATAAATGAGTTATTTTATAATGGGCTGTTACAGATATGTTTAATTAATATAAATTATTGGTTTTTAACTTGTTGATTTTTTATTTTTATTTTTCAAGCTTTAGAAACTGATGCCACGTGGCATTGTGGGAGAGAGTTTTTTTTGCTTAGGTGGATAGCCTAAGAAGCCCCAAATAATCCTTTTTATTTAGTATAGATTAGTCACGGCTTCCACGAAACAAGTTCAATTAAATTTAACGGAAATAAATGGTAATTAATGAAAGTTTGAATTGTATTAATTACTGCTTCCACGAAACAACCAAAAAAATCATTTGACAAAGTAATTTGTGTACGGTATTAGCCACATGGGGCCAATCCTCTATGTATATCGGAGTTGTTTTGCCAAATGCCCAATTCTTACTCTAGTAAATATTAAACCATTTTGTAGATCCTAATCTTGAGTCAACTCAAAGTCCTATGTTTGGAAACTAAAAATAAGTTTAAATCCTCTAGACTACGACTAAGTTGTAAAAAGAAATGTTCAAAATTCCTTAGACATTGAAATTGAATACTTCAATTAAAGAAAATTTTACCAGCATGTTCATAGTAGTAGACCACCACAGAACAAAATTAATAGTTTTTACATTGCATTCTTATATAATAATTTTGGAGTATAATTGTAATTATAAACAAAATAACTAAAAGAAAAGGAAAGTATTCTTGACATATTTATAGGTACTAATTTGCTAGTACGACTATTAATTATGGAGATTAAATCTAGTATTTGACTAACCAGAAACATTTTAAAGGTAAGTGATAAGTTGATAACCTCGCAATTATTTTTGAAAGCTATTAATCACTTTAGCAGAATGTATACAAGTTCTATATTAACAAGTTTATCTCAAAATCTTGAGATCCTACTAATAAATCATAACTTTTCTCTTATTGGTATGTCGAATCTAGTGTTTACCAAACTAGAGGTGTTGACCGTTAGAGACAATTAAACAACTTACATACATACAAAAGTACAAGCCGAAGAATAATAGTAATAACAGTGCATTTTCTACAATAATTAAAACAAAAAAGTATATTAAAAATTAGCATTTATTCCAATTAATACCAATATTCGAAAATTAATATGGTAGAAAAGCAAAAAGCTTACGTAAATTCCACAGATTGTCAAAACCCTGCAATGAAAAAGTTGCCAAAAATTGACGAGGTTGGTCCACAAAATTTAAGGTTCTTTGCTTCACACTCTATTTATAGGCGAAGAGATGAAACAGAGGAAATTAATTACTCCTTAACAAAGGTTGTTTTCACTCAACCACATGCCTTCTCAAGTGTCTGCTGCTCACATTCCCCGAGATTCTCATTTACTTACTCCTCTATTTGGTACGTCCTTTATATTACAATTCTAGTATTTTTTTTTTCATTATTCGTTTTGTTCATACTTCGTTTCATAAACATATATAGTTAATCTTATATTATACAGTAACTTTGATAAATATGTATCTTAATTTACTCACGCAGTTTAGAGAGACGATTGATACGTGGGGACTACTTACGTACCTGCATGATTATATAAGTTATAAAAGTTATTGCAGAACATTAAATTACTTTGATAGCTCGAGAGCAATCATTATATAAAGCTATATTTTTAATCACAAATATACATCTACTCGAAAGTTTTTTTTTTAAAAAAAAGATGAAATCCCTAAACAAACGTTCCCAAATGTTCTCATCACTCTCCAACCACGATTCACCACATTCAATGGAGTCACCAGACTCACCACAATATGAGATCTCTTCATGCTCTTCTTCTGAAAAACCTAGATACTACTTTCAATCCCTTGATCTCTTCCCCAACCTCACTCAAAACGCTTGTAACAACAATAACCTAATCGAGCCTTTACCACTTATCGATCGGATAGACTCAAGCTCAAACCTTAACCTTAACCGTAAGCCAAAGGCATTGTATGTTGAGGAAGGAGAGGAAGAGGAAGAACAGGAGGAAGAGGACGTGGATGTGAGCTTACGCATCGGCCTTCCTGGCTCTGATAATTTGAGCAACGGTGCTAAATTTTCGAAGAAAAATGGGAAGGAGATCATCACTCACGATGCCGGAAAACAATCAGAGAATGAACTTTCCGGCAAGGCATACTGGATTCCAGCAGTGGAGCAAATTATAATAGGCTTCACTCATTTTTCTTGTCACGTCTGTTTCAAGACATTCAACCGCTACAACAATCTTCAGGTACCAATGTTATCTCAACCAAATTAAAACCAGAATTCAAATTCGTTTTTTTGTTTCTTTATTTAATAAAAATAGACTTTAATATATATATGTTTGGATGCATGGTAAAGAAAATATTTATTGAATAGACCATGGTTTAAATTCAAATTACAAGTTTGATTGGCTATCGTTTTAATAGTTTTTCCTCTTATAATTAACTCTTCCTTTAATAGTTATTCAAAGAGATTTCAACCAAATTAATACACAGATTTCTTCAATGAAACAGTATGATCGATCTCTAACAAGATTGTAATGATTGATGAACCATGTTATTATTAGTTAAAATAAAATTGGAGTCAAAGATATGTGTATTTGCTGTGAACATTTATCTTGAATACGGCAGTCAAACCATTTTTTATCAATTTCATTTTTTGTTTTTACGTATGCAAATCTTTGTTGACTCCAAATATGAATGCAGATGCACATGTGGGGCCACGGTTCACAGTACAGGAAAGGACCAGATTCACTTAAAGGGACGCAGCCACGAGCCATGCTAGGGATCCCTTGTTACTGCTGCGTCGAAGGCTGTAAGAACCACATTGACCATCCTCGCTCCAAGCCGCTCAAAGACTTTCGAACGCTCCAAACGCACTACAAACGCAAACACGGCCAAAAGCCCTATGCGTGTCGCATCTGCGGTAAGCTTTTGGCTGTCAAAGGTGATTGGCGTACGCATGAGAAGAATTGCGGGAAACGGTGGGTTTGCGTTTGCGGTTCCGATTTTAAACACAAACGCTCCCTGAAGGATCACGTTAAAGCTTTTGGGCCTGGTCATGGGTCTTATCCGACCGGTTTGTTTGATGAGCAGGCCTCTAATTCTTCTGTCTTTGAAAGTTTGTTCTGTGTGATCGGTGAGTATTAGAGTAACTGAGAGGAATGTAACTGAGAGAAAAAAGAAAAGTAATAATTAAAATAATTGAAAATAATAAGTAAGAGCATCTAGATAGTCCTTACCAAAAAAAAGATCATCTAGATAGTCTTTCCATAGTATCTGATTTATATAATACTAATATAATGTATTTATATAATTAAATTATAAATTAATAAAGAGATGAACCAATTCTTAACAGACATTTGCCTAGAGACATATCTTTATTCTTAACAAACATTTGGCTAGAAACATATCTAATAGTTTCTTGTTTCAAAAATGTCTTCGCTTTTTTTCTGTTTTTCTCCCTTCCTTTTTCCTTATTTTTTTTATTTTTCTTATTCACTAAATATACTCCCATAATATCTGCTATATAATATTAATATAATATATTTATATAATTAAATTAAAAATTCATAAAGAGATGAACCAATTCTTAATAGATATTTGGCTAAATACATATTTAATATTTTTTTGTTTGAAAGATATCTTTGCTATTTTTTTCTGTTTCCTTCTCTTCTTTTCTTCTTATATTTCTTATTTTTTTTATTCAATAAATATATTTTAAAAAACACCAATTTTCTTATAAGAATATCTGAAAATAATTGAGAATAATTAAATTAAATATTTTCTTTTAGTAAAACTTATAATTATATATATGCTAAAAAGATATGTGATATTTATTATTCTATCTTTAAAGATTTTTTTATCGTGAATCACTATTTTCAGTTATCCAACCTAAAATGAATACTCAGAGAGCAACCACATCGAAAGTGTTAGAGATTGAATGAATACAGTTCTTAAAAGGTTTATTTCACATTAATGAAGTCTATCAAAACAAAATTTATCTAATTACATCTCTATAACAAAAATGATAATTCTAAAGTTAAATGAAAAAAAAAAACAAAAAAATAGAGAGAATTTTTCTTTAAAAAAAAGATAAGAAAGATCAATAAAACCGACTTCCTCACATTATAAATAGAAAAGTCTTCATAATTTGAAGATTCAATCCGAAAATCCCTAAAGTTCTAGAAAGTAAGACCAAATGTTCAAAGTTTTCTAGTTTAATTTTTTCAAGTGTTCTTACACACAGTTTAGCAAAACGTGATTGTTAAGCTATCTTTGTAATCACTCTGAGCTTTTGAGTAATAATCAGATTTAATTTTTTAAACACACAACCTTATATTGCTTTTTTTCTTTGAGTGATATCTTGGTTAACAATTGACGTCGTCTGTAGAAAATAAAGAATAAATTCTTAAGCAAAACAAGGTTTAGAGATGAGCTCTCCGAATGAGAGCAATCAACACACTCAAATCCCTACCTTTGATGAGCACAGCAACCCCCATTGTCATTGGAAATCAAACACCACCTCCACCACTAGCCACATGAACATTGACCCTTGTCTCTACCGGTGATCTTGCTGCTGCAATTCAACCCGCCCTAAAAATCGATCACCTAAGACCTTAGTTCCAAATTCGATAACTTGCAAGCTCAGCAAGCAAGGGATCAGGAACAACTCAACCTCATGGCAACCTCGGCCACTAAACAAGTTGCACCACTTGGACGAAGACTTGTCTTTGAGACACCCACCGTCCACATCGTAGCAAGAGCCACAACAGACACCCAAGCAAACAAGACGAATGTCCCAGCCCTAACTAATGAAGCGTTACATGCCAAGGTGGGTTATGAAGTCTCACCTGCCAAGGTGGGTTAGACGAATGTCTCTCTGTTAGACACCTCCACTTGACCACTTGTTTGAGGATGGTAAGGAGTAGCAACCTTATGCTTAACACCATGCTTCCTTAGCAGATTCTCAAAAACTTTGTTGATGAAGTGGCTTCCTCCATCACTTATAACACACCTTGGAACACCAAACCTTGGGAAGATGATTATCTTGAAAAGTTTCAGCACAACCCTAGCATCATTTGTTGGACTGGCTATGGCTTCAACCCACTTTGAGACATAGTCTACAACAACAAGGATGTATTTATTCCTATAGGATAAAGGAAAAGGTCCCATAAAGTCAATTTCCCAAACATCAAACAGATCCACTTCAATGATGGAGTTCAGGGGCATCTCATATCTCTTGGAGATGCTTTCTTTCCTTTGGCATTCATCACATGAAGATATATAAGCCTGGGCGTCCTTGAACAAACTAGGCCACCAAAAACCAGCTTGAAGTACCTTTGAAGCTGTCATGAAGGTTGTAAAATGACCACCATAAGCTGATCCATGACAGTGATGCAAGATTCCTCTAACTTCTTCATCAGCTATGCACCTTCTGAACAATCCATCATTCTCTTTCTTGTAGAGATAGAGTTCATCCCAATAGAAGTGAGAGACCTCTCTGAAGAATTTCTTCTTTTGATATGATTCAAGATTCAGTGGTACCTTGCCAATAACCAAGTAGTTCACAAAGTCAGTATACCAAGGCAATTTCTTCTCTTCTAAACTCATCACTTCAGCTGTCTTCACTCCTAAAGCATGCAGCTGCTCTTCTGGTAGAGTATCATTGATGGGGACAAAGTCATCAATCCTTAGCCTTGAGAGGTGATCAGCTACACCGTTTTCAATGCCTCTCTTGTCTACAATCTCCATGTCAAACTCTTGCAAGAGGAGTATCCATCTAAGGAGTCTTGGCTTGGTATCCTTCTTGGCATATATGTGTCTTAGTGCAACATGATCAATGTAGACTATCACCTTAGACCTAATTAAGTAGCTTCTGAACTTTTCAAATGCAAACACCACTGCAAGAAGCTCCTTCTCTGTCGTGGCATATCTGGTTTGGGCTTCATCCATTGTCCTGCTAGCATAATAGATGACATGCAGCTTCTTATCCACTCTTTGTCCCAAGACAGCTCCCACATCATAATCACTAGAATCACATATGATCTCAAAGGGGAGATCCCAGTTTGGAGCTTGCACTATGGACGCACTCACTAAAGCTTTCTTGAGAGTGAGAAAAGCTTGAAAGCAGTCTTCATCAAAGACAAATTCAGTCTCCTTGCACAGCAGCCCAGTTAGTGGTCTTGCTATCTTTGAGAAGTCCTTGATGAACGTCCTATAGAAACCAGCATGTCCCAAGAAGCTTCTGATTCCCTTGACTGAATTTGGAGGCTCTAAGTGCAGCATCACATCTATCTCTTGGCCTTGTCCACTTCTATCCCCTTCTCTGAAATCTTGTGACCCAACACTATGCCTTCTTGGACCATGAAATGGCATTTCTCCCAATTCAGAACTAGCTTAGTGTCTTCACATCTCTGTAAAACCTGAGAAAAGTTGGACAAGTAGATACCAAAGGAAGATCCATAGACACTAAGCCATCCATAAGTACTTCCACCATCTCTTCAAGTAAATCAGAGAATATAGAAGTCATAGACCTCTGAAATGTTGCTGGGACATTGCACAGTCCAAATGGCATTCTTCTATATGCAAAAGTGCCATAAGGACATGTGAATGTGATTTTTTTTCTGATCATTATGGTGAATAGGAATCTGATAAAACCATTATACCCATCTAAAAGCAATAATATTTATGATTAGCTAATCTTTCTAACATCTGGTCTATGAATACAAAGAAAAATGATCTTTCCTAAAAGCTGCATTTAGTTTTCTATAGTCTATGCACATCCTATGACCAGTTATAGTTCTAGTGGGGATTAACACTCATTTTCGTTTTTTACCACTGTCATTCCTCCTTTCTTAGGCACCACATGGACTGGTGAGACTGATATTGCTGCATTATCATGTGTTTTGCATACATATAAGATAGTTTCTCATGCATTTACCTTGCACTTTAGGCTAGTTTGCATCACTTTAGGTCCTAGGGCACTTTTGCACCAGCATTTGCATGTTTCTTGCATTTTGCATCGCATTCAGGTTGTTTTCGGCTACTTTGGAGCTATGGAGGGTTCGTGGACGTGCTAAGGCTCGTGAGGAAGTTTGTGGAAACTTGGAGAGATTAGGATTGCATGCTAAGGACCCGAGATCGAGTAGCAGATCGTGCAAGGCAGGTCGATCTAGATGTGATCGACCAGAAGATCGAGTGACCAAGCCGATGCAAGGAAATGGATCGAGACCGAGATCGAGAGAGGAGATCGATCTGAAGTACGGACGTAAATGACGCCATGCAGATCGATGACTAGATCGAGTCTCCAACCCGATCCAGACGAGATCGACTCAATGATCGAGCAAAGTCACCCGATCCAAGCTGAAGATCGAGAGCCAGATCGAGTCTCCTGCCCGATCCCAGACTTACCTTATCCGTCCAGCCTGTTCTTGGACGCTAGCGACGGGGGGGGGGGGGGGGGGGACCAGTACACGCCTTTAGCCAATTTTGGCTAAAGACGGCGATTGCTTTTTCCTACCTTCATTCTGTCTTTTTCTTATTATCTCTTTGCTTAGGCGATTATCTCCGCCATTGTAGAACCTTGAGTTTCCTTGCTTTTACGTTTCGAATATTGGATCTTTGCTTTTAATCCACCGTTTTCATGTTTAGTCTATCATCTATCGCGTTTTGTTCGGTTTACTTTATGAGTAGTGAGTAGTTTCATCGGGTTTTCGGGGTTGAGAAGATTCAAAGGGGTTGAAAAGGTTTAAAGCTTGGTGTTTTCTTGTTCTTCATGGCTTTCTCTTCTAGGATATCGAGTGCTTAAGGCTTAGAGGCTCTCATGCCAAGATCTCTATGGTCGGATGGATGTCTTACCTTGCAGGATCCAAATGTCCCTGAAGGTCGAATCCTAGAGGCTAGTCTACCTTTCCCAAACGCCATGGTAGTTTAGGGGACTAGTTAGGCCGTGAGTTTGAAATGTATGTTTTATGCCCTTCAATCTCTTTTTCCACCAAACGCCATGGGTTTGGAGAAGAGAATGAAGGAGTGATCCATACCACACGCCATGGATGGATCTTGTTTTGTTTTCAAGGCTTAGAGAATCTCACAAAGTGAGTAGATCTAAAGTTTTCAAACCAAGCTTGAACCTTTGAAACCCTTGAACATGAATCTCAACCCTGGACCCTTCTTTTTAGTATTTTCACATCTCTGTTAATCATTTGCTTCCTAGTTGTTCGCATCTTGGTCGTTAGATTCATTTCTGTTCGAACTGTTAGTAGATCGATCGTTGTTGCTCGATCTAGTGGTCGATCTACTAGTCGATTTTTATTAATTCATAGCTTTGCAT